CACATTACCAGACTGAGCCATTGCCCCAGACCACTTTGCTTGTTTTTTATGCTTGGAGTTTTGTTGTCCGTGTTTCCGGGGAATGGAGGTTGTCTCACTGTATCAGAGCCTGGCTCTGATCTTCCAGCCTTTTCTCCTGTGTGTGCTGGATTACAGACATGCTACACTGTGTCAGTTTATGGACTCAGCTTTTCCGGGGTTCGTGGCAGGCACCATTCCACCAACCTAGCCCTGTCCTAAACTCTTGGTTTATAACTAACTAGCATCCAATGGCATCACACCCAGGAGCGTAACATACAACTGGAAACAAATTTCTTGCAGCTAGTGTGAATGGGATGGAGGAACTGGGCCCCCATTTCCCCTCCTGCCAAGCTTGAGAAACGGTGAATTCGCTTCTCCTTCTCATCCTCTGGTTGCTTCTTCTACCTGCTTTTCCCCCCAGTTCTAGAAAAAGGAAGCGGTTTGCATGGGTTATAGGCAACAAAACCAAAGAGTGTATTTCTTCAAGAACTCTGACCTAACAGCCTGAGCTCTGGCCATGTGCTCAGAAACGCCTGAGCGCTGTCCTACCACCCTAACCTCCTTCCTTTCAGATTAGAGGGAACCTCTGTAACTCATGGGGCCTTTTCCCTCCTCTATGTATGTGGGGTGTGTGTGTGTGTGTGTGCACACGCGAGCATCTGTATTTGCATGTTTGCATGTGTGTACACTTGCATGTGGGATTCTGAAGCTGTGTGTCATGTGGTCACCTCTCCTTCCTGGCTTTACCTGGGTCCTGGGGATCTGAACTCCAGTCCTCACACTGTGTGGCAAGTTCTTCATCCATGAGCTGTCTCCCATCTCCTCAGCCCTTCACTGGGCCTTTAGATGGCTTGATGCAGCCATAGGAAGCTATCTTACAAGAGCTGGGTCTCTGTTCTCTCCACACTGTAAGTATCTGCTTAAGTGTGAGCGTCTGTGTAGATGACACTCACCTGGTGGAGGACTTGTCTAGTGAGCAGGAAATCGTGGCACAAACCTGTGATCTTATTGAGGAGGAGGTTCAAGCTCACCATCAAGTCCTCGGCTCCACAAGGAGTTAGAGAGCAGCCTGGACCACATGATACACTGTTGCAAAGGGACGGAACGGAGGCTTAGCAGGTAAAGCAACTTGTTGCCTAGAAGCCCAGTTTATGTTGTGCTGGGGTTTGGAACTAGGGCTTCATGATAGGGTGAACTCTACCAACTGAGCCACACCCCCAGTCACGTGCTGCCTTTTGTAGAGGATACCCTTGTATGGTACACTGTGAGCCCTGTTCTCAGCAGTCACCACAAGCCCTGTCGTCTCCTTCCCGTCCTTCAAGTGAAGTGCACACATTGATTTCTTTTTTTCGCCTGTCTCTGCGGTCCCCTTTTTTAGTTTTAAACTTGGATAGCTTCTGTACACAGAGATCAAATAAACATCGCACAGAGTTGAATCTAGTCTCAAAATCTTTGGCTTTTCACATTTGTATTTGAGTCTCTGGCACTCCATTGTACTTTAAAGGCCCTTTAACTGCAGAGAATCAACACGCAAGGTTAATCATGGCTCTGCCCGCTTTCGAGATGGGATTATTCATGGTGCTTTGAATTCTTTCATGTATTGCTGTTAGGGCTGAAGGCTAGACATTGTTTAATAGAAAACTCACCAACATCCCCCATTGTCCCTTGAACCTCAGCTCAGAGCAGCCCTGGGAGGGGCAGGGGCTCAGGCCATAGAAAGCTTGGCCATGTGTTATTCTCTCTGCACCCTTTCCTGGTTAAAGGAGAGAGCACGAGGCTGGGGGATGGCTCAGTTGGTAAAAGTGCCTACCCTGCAAGCAGGAGGGCCCCGAGTTATATCTCTGAGCCCAGTAGTAAATCCAGAGTGTTCTATACCCCCCTTTATATTTACATAAATTTAAATTGCATTAAAAATTGCATAAAAGATGGCCCTCTGGCCATTAAATTACATTTATTTAAGGTGGGGAGGAGAACACATCCCTCATTGGAGGTCAGCGAACGGCTTAGGAGTCAGTCATTTCTCTCCTTCCACCACGTGGGTCCTGGAGACAGAGCTAAGATCACCATACTTGCACATCGAGCCATCTGCCCCACCTGTAATAAGTCCCTTTTAGATGAAAAAGTGAAGCCAAAGATCTGCCCTGTCAGATTCACACCCAGGGGTGATAGATGGGGAATCCTTCTGTAGACCAGGCTGGCCTCGAACTCAGAAATCCGCCTGTCTCTGCTCCCAAGTGCTGGGATTCAAGGCGTGAGCCACCACTGCCAGGCTGAATTGTTCTATTCCACTGTGATCTCAGATGTCCTTATCTCCAGCTGGGAAAACCCCAACCACCCCCTTCTGTCCCTGCTTCGAGATGGGTAGTGATAAGTGAGACCCTTGTTCATCTGCCAAGCCTTGGGCTGGCACACCCTGACCTCCTAGCTGCCTTCCCTACATGCCCTGAAAGTCCAACCTTTCTTCTGCTTCTTTCTTTGAGATAGGGCATCAATCTGTCCTTTAACTTAATAAAATGGCCATGAACTCCTTATCCTTCTGCCTTCCAAGTGCTAGGGTTACAAGTGTGTGTCGCTGTACCTGACTTAGTGGTACTGAGGATGAAACCCAGGGCTTCTTACATGTTAGGTAAGATGTCTACCAACTGGATGGTTGCTCCAGCCACCTAGTTCTTCAGTCTCAGAAATCAAGCACAGAGCTTTGGGTTTTTGGGTTTTTTGTTGTTGTTCTTTTTTTTTTTAATGTATTTATTACTGTGTTTATGTGTGTGCTTGCACATGTGAGTATGCCAAAGAGAGTGTGCCATGACACACATGTGGAGGTCAAAGGACATTTTTCACTGTCGGTTCTGGAAGCCAGGCTCTGGCCACCAGGCTAGCGTGATTAGCACTTTTACCCGCTGAGCCATCCCCCACCCACACTCAACACCCCGAGAGCACCAGGAGGCCAGAGTTCTAACCCAGATGTTTCCCAAAAGCTTTTTCCTGTTCCATCCCATTTGTCTTGGTCTCAAGAAGACAATATTCACAGGGTGGAAGGTTTACCTAGTGGAAGACTCTCTGCCAGCAGTGGGGAGTCTGTCATTCATGCTGGGGTGAGACTTTGTCACCTGTGCTTCCATGATTAGCTCCTCACTCATGAGGCCAGGAAACTCTTTGCCTCCCCCAGCCCCAGGGTTGAGCCCTAGAATCTGCTTTGGTTTGTCACTGGGGAGCAGCTGTTCAGATCTCCTCAGGAAAAGAAAGGCTTCACATAACAACCACCATCCTGGGCATCACCCTTCACCATTTCCCAGGATCCGATCTCCAGGAGGGCACAGACAGACCTGTGGCTTCCCCTCCCTTGCACCCCCTGCACACAGCCTGGGGCCTATGCAGGTATTGTCAGGAAGCATGTACTTAAGGATTAAATGGGCAAGGGTTCTCGGGAAACAGGTCTGGGCTCTTAGTGCTCACAGGGTCTCTGGGCCACACTTGAACTTTCTTAGCTTCCTCTCTGTTCATCTGTGAAGTGATGACAATGTCTCTCCTATGGACTAGTATATAAAGACTGAGGCCTTATATCAAGAATCCACCCACATCCCACTTGATTATTTTAATTTTCACAATCCTTCACATGTGAGTGTTTTCCCTGCATCCATGTCTGCACTACATGTGAAAGGGTCTCACAGCCTAGCAGTGGTGGCACACACGTTAAATTCCAGCACTTTGGAAGCAGAGGTAGGTGGATCTCTGAAATCAGAGCCCAGCCAGGGCTACACAGAGAAACCCTATCTTGAAAAACCTAAAAGGAGGAGAAGGAGGGAAAGAGAAAGAGAGAAGAAAGGGTCTCACTGTAGCTCTGGCTTGCCTTGGCCTCACGGAGGTCCTTCTGCCTCTGTCTCACATTTGTTTTTTGTTTTTGTTTGCCCCTCCATCCTTCCCCCCCCCCCCATTGTTTCTCTGTGTAGCCCTGGCTGTCCTGGAACTCCCTTTGTAGACCAGGCTGGCCTTGAACTCAGAGACCCGCCTGCTTCTGCTTCCCAAGTGCTGGGATTAAAGGCGTAGACTTCATTTTTTCAAAAGAAGTCTCCCATAGCCCAGGCTAGCCTCCAACTCTGGATGTAGCCAAGGATGACCTCAGTGCCTAATTTCCCCCCTAGCTCCACTTCCCTGTACTGGAATTACAAGTTTCATTTGCATAGCATTGCCGAGTTGATTGATTTAGTGTGTGTTTTGATGCCTAAGGCTTTAGTTAATTCTTGTTTGCGAGTCGGGAATTGGATTTCATGCTTCCGTAAACTCTCTGGACTGGATTGGTTCCATGGACTTTCCTGGGAAGCTGCTCAGCCCCTTCCCAGGTAAAGCCTATCTGGAGCCTCTCCCAAAGCAAGTAAATGAACAAGGCCTCTGCCCACCACCTGTCTGTCTCTCACCAGCAGCACTGCTGGTACTCGAATGTACGCGTGTGCGTGCACGCACGGAGACACACACACCTTTTAAGTGCTGGAATCCTTGGGTTTTTTTGAGAACTCTCCATCACCTTTGCTTGTTTGAGTTTGAGATAGGGTCTCAACCAAGTCAATCAATCCAGGTTGTTCTGGAACCCACTTGTTTTGGTGACGGACATCCTTCTGCCTCAGCCTCCTAAATGCCGGAGTTACAGGAAAGAATTACTACACCTACTTTCTTTACCAATTCCTATACCTGAGCCCACACCAGGGCTTTGTGCTACTCAAGCACAGTACTGAATGTGTACACAGTACAAGCCAGCCTCCTGACTTATTTTTAAACTTTGTACCAAATGCTGCCATTTTCCCCCCATAACAGGATAGGTTGGGGTTTGGGGGGAGTATTTCCTATAAAATACTCTGCTGAGGGTGTGGAGGCTGAGGCCTCTCACCCTGAGTGGACTTGTACAGACTCAGAATCAAAATGCGAGACTTCTGCATTTTTTCTCAAATGAGTTTATCGGGGTTTTTTTTTTGCCCTCCTCATCCCAGGGGCTCAGCTGTGGCAAAGATCATTGGAAGCAACGTGAAGAACCTGCAGAAGTTCTCCTCCACCGTCAAGATGTGGGTCTTCGAGGAGACCGTGAATGGGAGGAAGCTGACGGACATCATCAACAATGACCATGAGAACGTGAAATATCTCCCAGGACACAAGCTGCCGGAGAATGTGGTAAGACTCGGCAGAGGGCCAGGGGGGCACATTCGGTTCCGTCTCCAGGCTGGGATCTTCTGAGTGGCACCAGGTCCTGGGTGTGGTAAAGCAACCTTTGGCTGGCACTGATTTTCTTGAATTCAGGTTGGTTTGTTCTTTGAGACAGAGTCTGTGTTTCTTCTGTGGATACTGTTGGTACTACCTCTTAAAATGTGTGTTCATGTGCTTGGAGTTCAGACATTGGATGCCTAGGAGCTGGAGTTACGGGAGGTTGTGCTAGGAACCAAACTCTGGTCCTCCTGGAGGAGCCGCAAGCCCTCAACCAGCTAGCCACCCCTCCCACCCTCATCACTGCCTCTTCCAAGGACAACAACCATATTGGATTAGGGCCCACCCACCCTATCTTTAGTTAGCTGACAGTCTTTTCTTTTGAATTTTTAGGCCTCCCACCTCCACCCCCAAGACAGCGTTGCCTGCATGTAGCCCAGGCTGGCCTCAAGCACACATGAATGTCGGGGTCTTCTTGCTCTTACCTCTCAAGCATTAGTTACCACAGCTTTAGGTCATGCAAGGTGGAGAATCAACCTGGGCTTCACCCGGCTTATTGGGGCAGTGGAGCTAGGAGGTCACTGTCCTTTGTGTCAGTAACAAGGAACTTGCTTCCTCTGTCTTCCCCGTGCCTGGAACTCTGGCTTTCTGATTGTTAACTTGCTAGGCACGAAGAGTACCTACCCTGGTGCTTTTCCTTTTTATTTTGAGACATGATCTCCCTAGGTTGCCTAGGTAGGGCTTAAACTTGTGATCCTGCTGCCTCAGCCCCCTGAGGAGCTGAGATTATAAATCTGTGCACCGGGGCCAGGCAGCTTAATACTGGGGACCATGAATCTGCCAGGCGGCTCTAAAAGGCAAGAGCCTGTGCCCTGAGGGGGGAAGGGAGGAAGCTCGTGTGTGTGTGTGTGTGTGTGTGTGTGTGTGTGTGTGTGTCCTCCACACTCACCACCTCCCTCCCCAGGCTGAATGTAGACAGGAGGAAAAGCCTACTCTCCGACTCTGTTCATGCCTCAGCCTTGAGGTTCCATCCAAATGTACATCTGCTCTCTGGAGTGGATATTTATGTGACCTCTCTTTTGGATAGAGCTCCCAGAAGCCATCTGTATCTGAGACTGGAACCCCAAGGTCACAACACATGTACAGCCCTCCCCTCTATAGCCCTCTCTTCCCTAGCTTCTCAGTTTTAGCATTTGTCTTCTTGTGAATTTGAGAGGATACAACACAGAAGCATGTAGCGGAGGATGATTCAACTCCTCATCTTCCTGCCCCCATCTCCCTGTCCAACTACACCTGGTTTATGGTTTTGGGGATCTAACTCAGGGCTTCATGCAGCCTAAGAAGGCTCTCTACCAACTGCGCCCTGTTTCCAGCCCAGCATTGCTATGTCTGTCTGTCAGTGAGGCTGAGACGTCAGAGTCCAAGTCGACTTTGCTTGGATCTTACCTAAACCGCCGCATGCCTAACCCTGCCTGAGTTCCCCCGCTCAGGAACCTTCTGTGACAGTGACCACCGTTTCTGAGTACCACTTTCTCCACTGGCTCTCTAAAAGCTGGCAAGTCGGAGTGTGTGGTTTTCATGGACCTGAATGGAGAAGACAGAAGTTGTTTCCTGTCCTTCCAAGAGCAGTGGCCCATCTGGCTTTAGTGCTCTTCACCAGGAGCTCATGTTTGGAGCTCAGCCAGGTGGAGAAGGCTATTCTGCTGTGGCGCTCTGACTTCAGCTGGCCCCAGTGTGACATGGGAGCCACTGATCACAGCTCCCTCTGGGATTAGTCTCATTGTCTCTCTCATCCTTGTCTGCTGAGCTCTGGCAGGTTTTCAAAAACACTGTTCTTGTTAAATCTGCACATACACTTGAGTGGGGTTTGTTTTTTGGCCTTTTGAGGCAGTCTTGTGTAGCCAGGGCTGGGCTCAAACTTGCTGTGTGGCCCAAGATAACCTTGGACTCCTGAACCTCTGCCTTAAGCATCTTGGTATCCAGGATGAAAGAGCAGCTGAGGGAGAAAGAAGGATGGCGACTTTGAGGCCAGCATGGACTACATGGTGACTTCCAGGACAGCCTGGGCAGTAAAGGGCAATCCTATCTCAAAAAGCAGTAATAAGAGCAACAGTAGAGCAGGTGAGATGGGTCAGTGGCTAAAGGCATCTTCACACAAGCCTGATGACCTGAGTTTGACCCCCAGGACCTACATAGAGAAGGAGAGAGCTGAGCTGCCCTCTGACGACATGCATGCTGCACACACACACACACACACACCAATCAAGCAATAAAATTAAGACATAATTTATAAAATTTAGAAATAATTGATTCACAGGACATGTCAGGGTCCTTCTAGAAAGAGTAGGCGGTACCTCATGGCAATGTATATTCTGAAGGGGCAAAGGTACAGACTGCTGGAATTTCTGCAAGTGTTATCTGTCTCTCCACTTCATTGCAGGTCGCTGTCCCAAATCTCAGTGAAGCTGTGCAGGATGCAGACCTGCTGGTGTTTGTCATCCCCCACCAGTTCATTCACAAGATCTGCGACGAGATCACAGGCAGGGTGCCCAAGAAGGCGCTGGGGATCACCCTCATCAAGGCAAGTACACACGCAGAGGGACTAGGCAGGTCCCTGGACCCTGGTTCCTCCTGAGTTTGTGCCCTCTTTCCTCTGCTTGAGGAGGTATATCGGGCACCTTTCTCACCAGCCATGACTAAACACCTGACAGAAAGCAACAGCAGTGGGAAGAGGTTTCTTTTGGCTCACTGTTTGAGACAAGATGGTCCATTATGGCCAGGGAGAGCAGGCAGGCCTGGATGTGGTTAGCTGCCTGGAGGCAGCAGCATAAGCAGCTGCTAGCTGACAGACCATGAGGCAGAGACTGTGGAATCCAGCATCATCTGGCTTGCTGCATTTTTATTGTTTCGTTTTGAGCTGTGGTGTTGGGGCTGATCACCTTGTACATGTCTGGCAAGCACTGAGCACAGAGCTTTTTCTTTCTTGTTTTTGTTTTTTGTTTTTTCGAGACAGGGTTTCTCTTATAGCCCTGGCTGTCCTGGAACTCACTCTGTAGACCAGGCTGGCCTCAAACTCAGAAATCCGCCTGCCTCTGCCTCCCAAGTGCTAGGATTAAAGGCGTGCACCACCACTGCCTGACAAGCTTTTTCTTTCTTATTGAGTCTGGGACTCTGGCCCAGGAGATGGTGCCACCGTTTTCAGGACAGGTCATTTCTCTCTTAGTTAATCTTCTCCGACACTCAGGTGGGCATTACCAGTGGCTAGTCCAATCAAGGTGACAGTTGAAATTAACCATCCACAGTGGGTGAGATGGCTTGGTGGGTCAAGGTGTTTGCTATGAGTCTTGAAGATCTGAGTTCGATCCCCTGGTACCATGCCCGGAAAGGATGTAGTATTTTTTTTTTAACTCATTTTCATTTCCAACTGAAAAGTTTCTTCCCTTCACTTAATTGATTTTCTAGGTATTATAGGTATATGTTTTCCTCATCTAGACCTCCAAAAACAAGTCCACAAACTTTAGCACACAGCTAGTGGTGGGGTCTGTCATAATGAATTCTGAACACTTCATTTTGGAAGACCATGCATCAGGGAACAGAGAAGAATCAACATATATGCCTCCATGTATTTGAGTTTCTAACCTAGTTAGGTAGCACCCACCAGAACAGTGTAGATGAACATTGTAGTGCCAACTTTCAAAGATGGATACACTGGCATCACATTATGGTGGGACAGTTACATGTGATAAAATGATCAAGAGTTGAGGGGCGCACTGGAGAGGTAGCTCAGTGGCTAAGAGCACCCACTGCTCTTGTAGAGGACTAAAGGTTTGTTCCTAGCACCCACCAGGAGGCTCCTGTCTTTAACTCCAATTCCAGGGGGGCCTGATGCCCTCTTCTGGCCCTCTTGGGAACTGCACACATATGGAGGACAGACATACCCACAGGCAAAGCACTAATACATGATAAATAAAAATTAATTTAATAAAAGAAAAATGTGTGAGGCAGTGAATATATTCAGGAAGGCTGTTCTGTCAGATGGGAAAATGGTGGGGAGAAGAAGAGGAACATGGAGAAAGGACCCCCCCCCCCACACACACACACACACCTTACAGGAGGAGGCAATGCAGTGTTTAGCCAAGATTTATTTTAGTATGTGTGCAGTGTGGTGGTGGAGTGTGTGTGTCTGTCTCAGATCTATCTCCTCAGCCCTAGAGAAAAAAATCTTTGTCACTTTCTGAATGGGCCAGCTGGTGTGGCACCAGCTTGTACTGGGCTCCACGCTCTCTGCAGCTAAGCCAGAGCCAAATGACAGTGTCGCTGTCCCTCCTCACAGATGCCACCCACTATTCACTGCTGATAATGGATGAAACTAAACTAGGGTCTTCCTTGGTGCCTGAAGCTGACTTTGGGGGTCGTTTAAAATAGCAGTTGTGATCTCTCTGCCATCCCAGTACCTGCTCCTTATCAGTGGGAGCCACCAGAAGCCCTGGAGGTTGCCACTGGGCCTATGTGCTCTCAGGACCTCCCAGGCCAGAGCTCCCATTCTGCAAAGTAACCTTAACAGTCTTGTGGGGTGTGTGTGTGTGGGGGGGGTCTCTGCAAACACTATGGCCAGCTGAGTACCGTAGTCTGACCCCAAGTGGTTTATTTTAGGCATACTTAAGCACAGCACGATTTGGTGGGGAGAAAAACAAGCAAACAAAACAAAACCTCCCTGGTGATAATGACCTCAATCCCATGTGCACAACAAAGACTTGACTGTTAAACACGTGTGACATCTTCTATAAAGATGGGTTCTATAGATTGAGAAAAACAAGCATGGTAAGGCTGTGGGAGAGGATCTGGTGTCTCACCACAGACAATACAAAGGTCGCCAGGCTATTAACCACATCTGTTCCCGGCCTTCTGGATGGAAAACAGGTCATATGTCTCTCCCTTTGAGACAACCCTGTGCGTTTAATATTCCTGGTCCACCTAGTGCTTATCAGTGAGCAAAAGCACCTCTGTGTCCCCTCCCCCACAAGTTGTTTACAGACAACTTACAGTTACAGTCTCACGCTGTAGCCCAGGCTGACTTCCAACTTCTGTGTTGGAATCCATGCAGTCCTCCTGGATTACAGGTATGGTGGGATCACAGGCGCGAGCCACCACATCCAGCTAAGATTACTTAGAACAACTGTCTCTTCCTCTTTCATTTGCAAGTCCCCCCCAACTCTTCTGAATCCTTCTAGGGCATAGACGAGGGCCCCGACGGGTTGAAGCTCATCTCCGACATCATCCGAGAGAAGATGGGAATTGATATCAGCGTGCTGATGGGAGCCAACATTGCCAGTGAGGTTGCTGCGGAGAAGTTCTGTGAGACCACCATTGGTGAGGCTGCAGAGGGCCCCGGAAGTGCTGGGGTGCTATTCCTGCCTCTACGTGGCTCTTCCCTGCTCTGGCTGGGGGCTCAGGGCCTCATGTGCTACACATGGCCTACCTATAAGGTAGCAGAGGCAGGAGGATAGGGAATTCAAGGCCAGCCTTGGCTACATAAGGCGCTGGGTTCAATAGATGTAGTGTCTGTATGAGGACCTGAGTCCAGATCCCTAGATCCCATGAAAAAGCTGGCATGGCTTTACAGGCATCGGTTGCCTGTAATCCCAGTGGTGGGAGGTGGCGACTGGAGGATGTCTACCCAGTCAGGGAGCTGCAGGTTCCATGAGAGACCCTGCTTCTAAAAACACTGGAGACGCTGGAGAGATGGCTCAGCACTTGTTCAAGAGTACAAGAGCCAGGTTTAATTCTCAGCATCTATATGGTGACTCAGAAATGCCTGTAACTTCAGTTCCAGGGGATCCATTGCCCTTTACTGGCCTCCATGGGCACTAGGTACATACATGGTACACATAGGCAAAACACTCATATACATTTATAAATGAAGAAAACAAATGTAAAAATAGTAATGAAGAAACCCAATATTGACTTCTGTCCTCCATGGCTTTACAGATTCATTGTATCTATATGTACGTAGGATACCTCTGGAGCTGGATTTAGGGGCAGTTTTAAACCACCTGACATGGCTCTTGGGAACTGAACTCAGTCCTCAGTAAGTGTTCACAAGGCCATTCTTTCAGCTCACGTTATTTGACCAGCTGCTGTGAAGTCGGAAGTCTCTTGTCCCTAGTGTGAATTCTCTGGAGGGGAAAAATCAGCATAATTTAGAGCACCAGATGGAAACTCTGTCGGCTCGAATCTGCTGCCCCCTTGTGGCGAGCGTGCCTTTCGTGCTCCTGATTTTACAAAACCGGTGTTAAGTCATAGTACTTTCTTAAGCAAATATGATTCCACATTCATTCACAGAAGTCCTACAAGGGCCTAACACCTAGATATCTAACATTGTTCCTGACACATATGTGACATGAAAAATAATATGGGGGGGGATTGGCATCGATGACCACCTCCACATGCACAAGTAAGCACCTTGCACAGACAGCACACACACATTCATACACTCATTCCTGTGAGCACACAGGCACATGCGCGCGCGCACACACACACACACACACACACACACACACACACACACACACACACCAGGAAACGTCAGCCGACTTCGTCCTGTTCCCACCAAGACTGTTTTCTTTCTGATTCTTACTTAACTTTGCAGCCATCCTGGGAGGGCCAAGTGTTTTTTTTTCTCGGGAGGGAGCTGGAGGAGGTTAAATCAAAGATCTACAAACTTGGCTGCTCTCCGAATCACCTGGGGAGCCTCAAAAACTAGCCACGCTGTTCCACTCCAGAGCTGTGGTTTAATAGGTCTGGGCTGTGGCCTGGTTTGAGTGTTTTTAAAGCTCCCGGGTGGTAGCATGTGCAGGCAATCGTGGGAACAGCTGGCCTCCCACCTGGAGACAGGCAGAGCCTGGGGCTAGAGTCCCCAGGGACTTTCTGGTGTCCTGATAGTTGCTGTTGGCTTGTAGGAAGGATTTATCTAGAAAGTCTGAGTTTAGAACCCAGGGTGGGGTTCACCTAACCCACCTGCACCCCATGGGCCACAACAGATTTCATGTCAGGCGTTATGGGTAAGACTTTGCTTTGCTCTTTCTTGCTTGCTATTGTTGTGTCTGGTATTTCCGTGTAGTCCAGGCTAACCTGGAGCTTGGGTCTCTTGTCCTAGCCTCACAGATACTGTGGTTACATGCATCACCAACACTGAATTCTGGTCTGGTTGCTGTGAACCATGACCAAGGCAACTCTTATAAAGGACAACATTTAATTGGGGCTGGCTTACAGGTTCAGAGGTTCAGTCCATTATCATCAAGGTGGGAGCATGGCAGCATCCAGGCAGACATGGTGCAGGAGGAGCTGAGCTTCATCTGAAGGCTGCTAGCAGAATACTGGCTTGCAGGCAGCTAGGATGAGGGTCTTAAAGCCCACACCCACAGTGACACACCTACTCCAACAGGGCCACAGTGCCACTCCCTGAGCCAAGCATACTCAAACCATCACATCTGGCTTATTTCATTTTTTGAGACAGGGTCTCGCTATATAGATCAGGCTGGCCTCCAATTCATAGAGAGGTCTGCCTGCCTCTGCCTCCAGGCTGCTGGGATTAAAGGTGTGTCATCATACCTGCCAGCTTCTACCGTTTATTCAAAGGTATCCAAATCACACAAAAGAATAAAAGCCAAGGGGCGTCCAGCACACCCCAGCCTGCTGCAGGGGAGGGGACATGGCTGTGGACAACACAAATCTACAGCATCTGCGGACAGCACACACATGCAGCTTACATTCTGGCTCGAGAAAACCTTTTCGTGTTTAATAAATTTAAAATGTATGGCTTAATTTTCTTTTTTTTTCCAAAATTACCTAATAATTATTGTGTGGAGTTGTGCCAAGCACACGTGTTGAGGTCAGAGGGCAACTCTGAGGGGCTGGTTCCCTCCACATGTTCATGGCTCTATTTCCGCTGTCTGAACTGAGGTTTACCCTGTAAAAATCACACCTGTGTTAAAGATTCCACAAGGCTGACTGACTTGATTGAACTCTGTGGAGAGTTGGGGTGTTACAGGTCCCAATTATCTTGGTCTATCTTTAGCCCCCTTTATAGCGGACCGCTAGCCTCCTCTAACATCCTGTGAAACCTTTTGAAATGCATCAATTTAATAGACCGCTGGTATTTACCAACCCAAAAGCCAGGTGGCACCCGGAACCTGTAGCGAAGCTTTTCCCGACTGTTGTAGCCCCTCCTGATGCTCCCACCAGTGTATTTGGAAAATGCTTCAACTCTTGGCTATAAAAGGCTCACGAGCCTCTTGCCATGGTGGAGCATGGTATTTGGGGCAGCCTGAATCTGTGTTACAGGTCGTATGTAGTCACTCATCTAAAAACTCACTTAGAGAGATGAGGCAAGAGCTGAGGTTTTGGGTTCATAGGCTTCCCCCCCATGTGAGTGTGTGTGTGTGTGTGTGTGTAGCTCCCATGCTTTGTTACAAAAAGTAACACTTTAAACCTCTGCTAAGTGTAGAAGTGGACGCAGGGGACATCACTAATCTTTTGCTCTCCTACAGGCAGCAAAGTGATTCAGAACGGCCTTCTCTTCAAAGAGCTGCTGCAGACGCCCAACTTTAGAATCACTGTGGTAGACGATGCAGACACCGTGGAGCTTTGCGGTGCTCTTAAGGTATCCTACCCAGGGGAGGAGTGTCTGAGGCTAGACCAATGTTAGCAGTCTGACATAGGAGAGAGGGCTCTGTGTTTCGACTGTCTGGTGTGTTGGTTCATCTGTGTGTGCACACACTCAGGTGTGTGTGCAGAAGTCAGAGGCCCGTCTCCAGTGTATGCCTTTGACTTCCACTTTGAGACAGGGTCTCTTTGTCGATCACCCTCAGGTACACCAGGCTAACCTACAGCTTTCTGGGATTCTTTTTCAGCACACCTCTCCTGGTTATGGCTTTGTCCTGCTGTGTCTAGTTTGACCTGGGTTCTGAGGCTAAATTCAGTTGTCAGGTTCGCATGACAGGTGCTTTGCCACTGGGCCATCTCCATAGCCATGCTCTGTGCACTTGGCATAGGCTCCTGTGAAAAAGAGCAAGCCTTGTTCTTAGGTGCCTGGTTGCCCCTTCCTAGGTGGGGACTCTCTTTTATTTATAAATATCAGTGAATTGTGATTTTTTAAAATTTGCTTTCAGATCATATTTGTGTGCATGCTTTGCTTGCATGTATACACATGCACCACATGCATGCTTGTTCCCCAGAGAGGTCAGAAGATAGCATCAGACCTTCTTGAACAGGAGTTGAGGGTAGTTGTGAATTGTCGTGTTGGAGATTGGTTCTAATGCTTTGAATCTGCGTGTCCAAATGCTAAAGGTCCTTGTCTCCAGTTGGTTTTTGATTGATCGATAAAGGTGCCAGCAGCCAATGGCTGGCCAAAGGGAGATCGGCAGGACCCCCTAGATTTGCTCAGGCTAGGACGCAGTGGGGGGAGGTGAAGGAGAAATCTCCACGATCAATGGGATGGACATAGAGCTACAGGTGACAAAGTTGAGCCATGTAGGAATTCTGGGTAATTCTTAACCACTGGCCACTTCCCAGAGGGGCCTGGGGTAGCAGGGGAGTGCCCAGCCTTTGAGGTAGCCAAGGCATTTTAAAATTAACTGGCATGTGTGAGTGCGTGTGTGTGACTGCGTGCATACCTCTGTGTGTGTGTGTGCACATGCACGCAGACACACGCACGCACACACGCATGCGTGTCTGTCTTGTATTTGGGAATCCACATGGCTCCTGTGCAGGTGTGGGAGCCAAAGCAGTATAACACAAACTCACTGCTACAGTCGTGTTTGTGCTAGGAACTGAACTCGGGTCCTGTGCTATCGCAGCTGCTGCTTAGCGCTTAGTCATCATCTCTTTAGCCCCAGATTGTAGTTTATTTGATAATTTTTCAGATTTTGTTCTTCACGTGTGTCAGTCTGAGTATGGACACTTGGGTACACATGCTCATGGAAGCCAGAAGGCAGCCACCTGACTCGGGTGCTGGGAATCAAACTCAGTCCTTTGGAAGAGTAGCAAAGTGCTCATAACCACTGAGATGTCCCTCCAGTCCCCATTTGATTTTTATGTGTATGTGTGTGCCTGCAAGCTTGTCTGTGTGCCATATGGGTACAGTGCCCTGGGAGTCCAGAAGACGACATTGGACGCCTTGAAACTAGAGTATGGAAGGCTGTGAGCTGCTTCATGTGAGCTGGGAATGGACCCTGGGTCCTCTGCAAAAGCAGCCAGTGCTCCTAACCCTGGGCTGTCCCTGTAGCTCTGTCTTGTTCTGGGAGATGAGGGCTTGGCAGCCTCTGTGTTTGGCTTCTCTGGCTCTCCTTCCTCACCCAGGTGTTACCTTGAGTGGGAATCTGTTTCCTCTCCCCCCACACCACTGGTTCCTTTTCATGTGGAATAGTTGTCTCCTGCTGATGAGGTTTCTTCAAAGAACAGTTTATCTTTGTTCCCCAGGGTGAAAAGAAGCAGTTTCGATTGGCAAGTGGCCAGGGATTGCCAGGAGACAAATCACAACAAATTTAATTACTTGGTCAATCCGCCTCTAGCCCCAACTGTGCAGAAGGCGGCTTGTATCTACCAAGGGGAACTGTGGGGGGGGGGGGAGGTCTGAGGATTCAGTAAGGAGAGAAGCAAGGAAACAGCAATGGAGAAAAGTTGATCCAGGTTACTTAGGGGTCACTTCAAAACGGGCAGCTGGGTTTTGGGTGTTTGTTGGATTGTTGGTTGATTGGTTGAGATTGGACATCAAGTAGCCCTGTCTGGGCTCCAACTCAATATGTAGTTGAGGATGCCTTGATATTCTGATCCTCCTGCCTCTACCTTCTAAGCACTGGAATTACAGGCGTGTGCCATCTTGTCTGCTTTATGTGGTGCTGGGGACCAAACCCAGTCTTCATGCCTGCCAGGCAAACACTCTACCCACTGAGCCATACCCCCAGCCTTTTTCCCTTTGCTGAATGCAGGGCCTTGCACAAATCCAAGACAGGCACTTTGCCACTGAGATACAACCCCAGCCTTTTAGGCTTTATTTTGAAATACCATCCAACTAAAGTTCCCAGAGTGGCTTTCAACTTTTTATGTAGCCTAGACTGACCGAAGCTCCCTAGCACTTTCTGTCAGGATGGACTCCTGTTTCTGGGAGAAGCGTTGGGATCTGATGCTTTTCCTGATGGTCAGTCTGATGTTGCCACACTTGGCTGAATGACCCCATTATGTATGGTAAGACTGTGGTTTCTGGGTTCTCATATAGCAGTGTGCCCCAAAGCAGGGTCCCCTCACGGGAAATGTTTCTGTACTTGTCCATCTCTCCTGAGGGAGGAAACTGAGGAAGCCGGCTACAACAGCTACTTCCATGACCTCTCTTCCCAGGAGTCAGGACTTGTTGACTCTGAGTATTTGGGGGCGCAAAATGGAGGATGGGCCAGTAAGATGACTCTGGGTAAAGCCACCTCCCACCAAGTCTGGCATCCTCAATTCAGTCCCTGTGATCCGTGGGGTGGGAGAACTCTTAGTGACCCTCTGACCTGCACACGTCCTGTAGGGGGTGGTAGTGATGTAGAGCTCTTTTGGTAGAATGCTTGCTCGGCAGGCAGGAAGCCCTGGGTTCAATCTCCAGCACCACATAAACAAGATATAATGGAGCACACTTGCAATTCACCACTGGACAGGTGGAGGCAGGAGGATCGGAAATCCAAGGTCATCCTTGGCTACATAGCCAGCCTCCTCCCTCTCCAACCCTGCCTCCTTGGGAATTCAGTGTGAATTCCCTGTTTAATCCAAAACTGCTTCTGGAGTTGGGGCAGCTGGGAAGGGAGCCAGGCAGCTGACATCCGACTGCCTGTTTCCACTGTGATCTGCTGAGGAAGCACGGACAGGAAGAGGAGAACCTAACCCCTCTTCCTCAGGAAGTCCCCATCTTTTCTTCTAGTCAGAATTAAAAATCAGCTTTTAAATTTAACACTGTGCAGTCACAAAATACAATGCACATTTAAAAACTTTGAACCAGCTAAAGACTTTGGCTGCCAGCCGGCATGTATCTGCATCTCTGTGCATGGGGGACCCTTTTCCAGCTCTGTGTTGGCAGGCCTCTTTCCACAGTCAACAAGGCCCTGGCTTTGGCATTATGTTGAGTGAGGTTTTTATGGCTTTTAATAGTCGTCTATTAAAGTAATGACTGCTCAACAGCAGGGGATGTCGTGAACGCCTAATTGTCCAGTATTAGCCATAAGCTGCACAAAGCTGTAAGTGACTGGCTATTTTGGGTTACCAGTGGGGAGATGGTGTGAAATCCCACTCAGAACGAAAGGTGCTGGGTGAGAGGATTCTGGTTGGATGGTTCCAGAAAGCTTCTGTTAGGAGTTGGTGTGCGCCTGGCAGGGCCTGTGGTTGGATTTGTGCCTGTGGCAGGACAGAAAGTGTGAGAGAGACAGGTGGAGGCAGAACGGATACCGAAGGCTCCTCGTTATCCTTCCCCGGGGCTACCCATCATTCCTTGAGCCTGAATCAGGACTAGAGATTTCAAAAACTGAGCTGTGGGCCTATTCACTGTTGAGTCTGGCCATGGTATCCCATCCCACAGATAAGGAGACAGGAATCCAGAGTGAGTGACCCAGGTGTCCTTTCTCTGTCCCCACCTCTGCCTCGAAGCCCTGGGTGGGGGCCCCTCCTCCTGGTGTTCACCCTTCCCCTTTGGTAGAAGGGCCAAGGCTCAGACTCAATCAGTGGGACCCATCCCCAGTTTTCTATTTTCCTGTGAGGGGAAGAGTGGAAGAATTGAGCCCTGTCACCTGGCTCAAGGCACCATCGAAGACATAGCCGCTCCAGGTGGAGGGCTACTTCTGGGCCCTGCTGGGACCGGGGGAAGCATTTAACACACCCGTCTACCCAAAACCATAGCAGGTTTAGTTGTGGCTAGTTTATAGCAGATTTGCCTGAACTGGGGGATAATGACTTTTGTAGCTGAGCAGACTGCTATTCAAGCATGCTCTACCTGGAACGCTGCTTTTTAGCCCAAGGTCCTATTAGAAGAGAGTTCACTTGCCCAAGGCCCCCTGGTGGGGAGGTTAGCACCATGGAAGCTTTGAGGTAGCCCAGACCCCAGGGTCCTGGGAAGGAATCGCAGCTCTGCCCTCCTCTACCTCTTCTTGTCTGTCTTTTCTCTAAGTGCTGAACTGGAAGAGCCGGGCTAGAGCTTGAGGCCTGCTCCTGCTGCCCTGCTTAGCCTGGTGACAGAGAACTCATGCCAGATCTTTATGGTTGAGCAGTTCTTACCATGAGAAAGCCCTTGCCTAGACTCTGAGGGAGCTTCTCTGTGTCTTTTGCTCACTGGGTCTATAGGCATGGTGTTTCTCCTGGCCAGCTGCTTACCGCTTCCTTATCCTTCACTGTTCGTGATAAAGGGGCTGTCATATGAGACTCTGTGGGGTGAAAATTTATTTTTCGTTTTTTGTAGCAGGGCAGCTGCTGGGCAAGCCCTCTAGCACTGACTTAGGTTAGCCATTGCCGTTGGCGTTCTTCTCCACCTGCCCTTTGACTCCCTCTGTCCCTAGGAAGGCATGCCCCCATGACACAGAAGTGCAAGGGTGTGAGAAAGCCTCTATAACCTAGACGTTGGGTCAGTGACCCATGGGACACACACACACACACCATGTCTGTGGGTGCAGCCTCAGGGTGAGTCTGCTTCTTCCTTCTCTCAGCCAGGGGAGGAGGGTAAGCCCAGACTTCAGAGTCATGACTACAGAGGATCTGGTGTGGCCCCACCTTCATCTGCAGGAACCCCCGCAGCAGGAAAGAGCCTGTTCTCCCCATTCAGTCATGGATAACTCCTAGGATTGGTTCACCATGACATCATCCAAGAGATAGCAGAGAGGTTCAGAATTCCAGTTATTTAGCCATGAATCCCCTGTAAGCCTCCATTCATTGACACGAGTTCAAGAGAACCAATGGCCTGCTCATCCAAGCTGAACTTTACAGAGAAAGGCTTAGTGACCACGAGGGAACCATTGCATTAGATGGGACAGATATGAAACATCAGGATGTCCCAGCTTAGTGTCCTGAGCATGGGTCTAACCTTGGTCTTCCTAGACTCTTTAGCCAGTTCTCTGATACAGGTCTTGACCTGCAGGCAGAATGTAGCACCTTTGAGGTTTGGTCTTGCTATGTTTTTAATGCTAAATGCTGCCCCCCCCCAAGGTTTGGTTGCTCCCAGGGTCAAGAGACTCTGAACGTACAATGTGACCTTGCTCCTATTGGCTAAATGAAGATGTTGGCAGCCAATAGTTGGGCAGAAGAGACCTGGGTGGGGTTTTGGGTTCCCAGGCTTGGGGTTCTAGGAGAGCCGAGAGGAGAGAGAAAGGTGCAGAGAGGAGGAAGCTGCCATGGGGTAGGTGAGTCATGAAGACATGGCCATGAGGGGTGGCCGGTTGGAGTTGCCTGGAAGGAACATGGCAAAATTCTAAAATGGGGTTATTGGTGGGGAAGTAGATTCTCATAGCATAGAGGGTGGATATCTGCACAGCTCTAGTGGTGAATAAGGCTTTTATAAAAATAAAAGTTGTATGTTTTTTGGTCTTGGAACTGAAGAGACAAAGGAGGGGTAGAAACCTCGGATTGAGATGAAATGTTTTCTACAGCCCTTGTCTTTGAGCCCACTCTTCAGACAGCATCATTTGAGATCAAGTCCATCAAGAGGTATCCTCAGGAATCAGACAGGCTGTTGGGTCTCCAGAAAGAAGGGGACTGTCATTTGCACATATTTTATTTTCCCTGTTATAGCTGGCAAGCATTTTCCACAAGGATAGTAAGTGCCTTGGGTCTGTGGCCCACAAAGGCCATCTTAGTCATTCAGCCTGTGATACTTGAGTCATCTACCATCAGTAGGTGGTGGGGACTGGGTCCCTTAGACTGTGACTGACAGACTCAAGCCTTAAGTTGGTACCCTCTATCCCAGCTTATCCCCTGTGGAAAAGGAGTTCCGTATGTGATTTGCCCACGCTTAGAGTGGATCCAATACAGTGCACAGAGCAGGAGCCCCATGGATACTCATTTTTAGAGATATTTAAATGAAACAAGTGGCTAAGACTAATTGTACATATGCTTACCTCTCGGCCCTGCAAGCCAGCTCCTAGATCATGCCCAAGAGAACTGCCCACATGCTCTCACGACACCAACCAGACGCTCACAGTGATCTACTAGCTGCTGAACTATTCCGATTTACCCTCCTTCCTGTCACTTTGCACTGGGGTGAATCTCAGTGTGGGGACTTTTATAAAAACAGGAGTTCTGAGGATCGAACTCAGATACAAAGCATCTGATGTGCCAGTGGTGCTTGTAGGGTGGTGGAGTGGGGGTAGCACAGCGTGGTGCTGGTGCTCGTTTGGGGTGGGGTTTGTAACTCTGACAGAACTAAAACTCACTGTGTAGACCAAGCTGGCCTCAGACTTGCAGTAACCCATCTGTCTCTGCCTCCTGAATTCTGGAATTTAAAGGCATAGAGCACCAAGCCCAGCCTAGCACACAGTTTTGATTTAAAAAAATCGCATGTGCTCCAGTGTCAGTTCCTGCTTTTTGTGGTCTCTGCAGAACATTGTTGCAGTGGGAGCTGGCTTCTGCGATGGCCTCCGCTGTGGGGACAACACGAAGGCGGCCGTCATCCGCCTGGGCCTCATGGAAATGATCGCTTTCGCCAAGATCTTCTGTAAGGGCCAGGTGTCCACGGCCACCTTCTTGGAGAGCTGTGGGGTGGCTGACCTCATCACCACCTGCTATGGAGGGCGGAACCGCAGGGTGGCAGAGGCCTTCGCCAGGACTGGGAAGGTACCCTGAACCCCAACCTGCTCTACTTGATACTGAAACCCTCTTCATCTGAGACCTCAGACTGGGGGGAATGAGGCCTGACCCCACATAGATTTCCTATAATGTTGATGCCCGTTCTGTCTGCCCGGGCTGTGCTCACCTGACTGTTCTGGCCCTTAAATGCCCTTATCTTTCTTTTAATAAGTTAGCATACAAAGTAACAGGCTTGCAATAGCATTTTCATAATACTTAGGTTGATTCTCCCCCAACTCTTCTGCCTCCCAGCTTCCCTCTCCCCGCCCCGTCTCTCATTGCACCCTTCTGCTGAAATTCCCCCTCCATCTTTATATCACACGCCTTCTCCCTCTGCCCTCTGGGGTCCCTTTCTGGTCTCTGGCCTCTTCTCATACCACCCCAACATAAATATACAGATATACAGATATGAAACCTAGGCACTAGGAGGCTGGGGAGATGACTCAGCCACACAAATGTGAGGACCATCGTGTTGGATTAGATCACCAGCACCCATATAAAAGAACTGGGTACAGTCATATGAACCTGTGGTGTCAGTGCTCGGGAGGCTGAGACTGAAGGATACCCGGCAGCTTCCTGGTCAGTGAGCCTAGCTAAGTCAGTGAGCTTTGGGTTCATGGAGGAAGGTGACTGAGAAGACACATGGCATCAACCTCTGACCTCTCCATGCATGCATACCATATGGGCGTAGACACGCACATGCACGCAGGCATACACATATACATGCATGCACACATGCATATACACACGTGTACACAGGAGGTACGAGCCTCAGATGAGAGATCACACACTCTTCGTCTTTCTGGGCCCGAGTAACTTCATTTACTATGACACTTTCCAGTCCCATTTGTCTGTGTCATGGTTTCGTGCTTCCTCAAGAATGTACTTTCCTTGACTGGAGACAGGACATCTCAGCTCTCCTCTGCCTCTCTCAGATGGAACAGCTCTCAAGCGGATGCTTTCTCTGTCCTTTGCTCCTCAGACCATCGAAGAGCTGGAGAAGGAGCTGCTGAATGGACAGAAGCTTCAGGGACCTCAGACGTCGGCGGAAGTGTACCGCATCCTCAAGCAGAAGGGGCTGTTGGACAAGTGAGTCCCCTGCTGTCTGGGCTGCTGCTCCTCAGACAGTCGCAGCGGGCGGATGAGGGAAGCTGCCCAGCCAGGGTACTTAGGACATGACAGGATCTGTTTAGACTTCTATGTGATATGGACATCTCTGGTGGGAAACATACAAAACCAATTTGAACTTGATAGATTAAACATGCTATAGAATATGAAATTTTAATCAAGCATGCCCAACATTTTCATGTGTGACATGACCTTGTTGTCTGTAAGGCTCACGCTTGAACCTTGCAGTTCAGTAACAAAACAAAACAAAAAGCCTCAATGTTGTAAGTCATGGAAGGTGCTGTAGACACACCTGATAGGTTCTGGTTTGTTCTACAGATAATTACCTTTCTGGCTGCTTTGCTTTTGAAAAGACTTCACAACATAACCCTAGCCTGATACTCACTATATAGACCAGGGTGGCCTTGAACTTACAGAAATCTGACTGCTTCTGCCTCCCAACTGTTAGGATTTAAAGTGTGTGCCACCACACCCAGCTACTTTTAGTTCTTATGAAGAGATAGAAGTGTAAACTGGGTGTGGTGGTTCATGCCTGGAATTCCAGCATTGGGGAAACTGAGTCAGGAGGATTGCTACAAGTTTGAGGCTAGGTTAGGCTACAAAGAGAGAGTTCAAAGTCAGCCTTAGCTATATAGTAAGACCATGTATTTTTAAAAGGGCAAGGAGGATGGTCTATGCATGGTAGCACTTGTCTGAAACCTTAGCACTCACCAGACTCAGCTGGGAGGATCAGGAGTCTGTTGTCAGAATTCGGAGCTAGCATAGGAAGTTCAGGATCCCCGTGCAGCCCTGAGCCTTTCTCAGCATGACTGATCTTTGAGCACAAAAAACAGATCCTGGGTTGATATGGCTCCGTTAGCAAGAAAAATTAGCCAGAAGTGCAATTACAGAAGCCAAAAGGCAAGGCTAGTATATCTGGGGACTTTGTCAGAACTATGGACTTTGAAGGATTGGGTCTATGTTCTTGTTTTGGCAGGTTAGACTGTGTACATCCCAGGTTATAAGGCCTGAATAATCATGGCATTGGTTATGCTACTGTCTGTGGGCCTGTTACAACACACGCCAACACACGCACACACACAAATGAACCTACTCCAAGAGGCATGGTGCACAATCTAACCTGTCCTTCCCCCTTCCCACTCCTCTAGGTTTCCCCTCTTCACTGCAGTGTATCAGATCTGCTATGAAGGCAAGCCTGTCACACAGATGCTGTCCTGCCTGCAGAGCCATCCGGAGCACATCTGAAGGAAATCATGCAGACATAAGGAACAGCTCTGCCTTGCCCATTGTAGGACCACCAGAAAACCAGGGTTTGGCAGTGAGATCCTGCTGAACTGTACTCTGATCTGAACACATACAAATTGTTACAGCTTTGTCTCTGTGCCAGGAGAGGCACTCTACCGGCTAACATGTGTCGGGTAACAGCTACAGACACACACGCACATGAGTGAGTGTGTGTGAGAGTGTGTGTGTGTCTTTGTGTGTGTGTGTGTATATGTGTACAAGTGTGCACTTTTCTCATTCTGAGTGTTCCTCTGAACCCAAACCAGGTGTCTATTTTAATGATCACATTTTAAACTTCCCCTCCAGGGCAGCTTGTGAGATTAGAACTAACTCAGCTAAATTTTATGGCTGTGACTGGTTTATATGCGAGTGAAGGGAGTCAGTGATTTGTTTTTTCCTCTGAAACAGTCATCCAACGTTAAAAAGGTCTGCATATATGTGCGTTTAAAGACCACCACACTTTAAACAGCATCTCAGAGCCAGCAGCACAAGCTCCTTAGATTGTGAATTGATGGCTTATAATCAGGTGTTTTAATTAGATACTCCACGTACACATTTCTTGATACAGATACCACATTTCTCTCCTCTTTCCTCTTCACTCGCTGCTAGAATGGGTTTTTATACAGACCCAGCGAGGCAGAGGAAGGAGACATCCCTGCAGTAGCTGGCATTTCCTCCCGGGGACACTTTATCATGTTCTTTGTTAGGTGAGACTTTTCTACAGCTGGGTCTCTTCAGGCTCATGGAGTCTTCAAGGGGGCCACTGTCACTTCTCATGCATGTAAGAAGCCATAGCTGTATTTGGTCACCCAGGGACATGGACACATCCCTCTATCCCTCCAGGATGGGACCTGCTAGGATGTCACTGGGCCTCTCTGACCTGGCTGTTTGTAGGAATGATATGTTCAGCCTTTCCTGAGGCCACAGAAGGGCTTCCTGCCTTGGAGATCTGTGTGGCAAAGAGTTGGAAAGTCACCACTCCAAATGATGTCCCCAATCTAGGGGACATCCAGCTGATGATTACACTCTTAAGAAAGATAGTTCCCAGGTCTCAAAAATAGCCCCTGCACTTGGGAGGCAGAGGCAGGCAGATTTCTGAGTTCGAGAGTTTGAGGCTAGCCTGGTCTACAGAGTGAGTTCCAGGACAGCCAGGGCTACACAGAGAAACCCTGTCTCGTAAAACCAAACCAAGAAAAAAAAATAGCCCCTGTGTTTCCACATTGCCTTCCATGTACTTCTGATGCTCACTACAGTTTGAGAGCCACTGCATTAGAGAATTTACAGCCTTTGCCGAACAATGTTCTATAAGAGACAAGTGCCCTCGAGTCTCCTAGAGGGGGAGGGAACCTGGATGCTCGGAACCTGCTAAGAAGTCCCAAACATATTAGACTATGAGATTTTTTACTAGAATATTAACAATTTCTAGAGAATACTGCTATAGGGTGAGGTGACCCTCACTCTTCATGGGGAATCAGGATGACTAACTTCCTGTGAGAGTTTGTTCTATGTAGTAGCCTGGGCTGGCCTTGAACTTGTCACCTTCTTGCTTCTGTCTCCTGAGTGGCCTGGGTTTTGCAGTTTCTGACCTTTCTGAATCCCTGAAGAAGTTTTTAGGAGACAGGGTCAGGCACAGACAAGTCTATGTTGACTCACTGAAACGCACACTATCTGGAATGAGTGCTTTGGATGCTAGAATTAGAACACAGATGATTTTATCTTTATTTAAAAACCGGGTGTCCGGGATGGGGGGTGGGGAAGAGCATACAGACGCCATTGTCCTGTGCTTTTAGCTTATGAGAGTTTCCACTTCCTCCCCCTCATTCTGGGTTTGTTAGCCCCCACCCTTGTATAACTGAAAATGATTGTAAAATAAATTTTTATGGGAATTTTTAAAACTATCCAAGAAGACTTTTAGAGCATTGTAAAGTCCCATACCTAAAGCATTGTAAAGTCCCATACCTAAAGCGCACAGCAGGGTGAAGACTTCCGTTTTCATAATGATGTTGTCAATCAATTTTTTTCTTGCCTCCTGGTCTTTTTTGTTTTTGTTTTTTTTAAACTCTGTACATATGTAACAAGGAGTTACTTTTTAAGATATCCAAAGGGCTGAGAGCTACCATGGTGTCTACAAAGTAGCACAGTGCAGAATTGTTAACCTTTGTGTTTTGTGTCCTTATTTACATTCACCCTCTCTCTGGTCTTGTGTCCCTTCCTTCCCTCATGAATGACCCTTACTGACTGACATCCCCCTGAAGTCAGCTGATGTGCTTATCATCATCCACCCATGATGGAAACAGGTCAATTTCTTGTTCGTGCTCTGATGGCCCGAGGTGTTACTCTGAGTTAGCTATTTTGTAACCTTGTAACCACCTGCTGATTGGTGTTTCTTGTGGTGATTGGGTCAGGGACATCTAGAAACTTCACCTGTGAATGTAAAACTAAGCTCTTGCATTGATACTTTCTCCACCGCAGTTTTGGACAAACCTCTGGAAATCCACCCCTGGGGCTAAGCCTGCCTTCTGGTGTTTTCACAGGTGGCCTAAGGAGGGTGCTGTGTGAGATTGCAGTGTCTAAACAGAATTGTTTCTTCACCACGTCTGACTGGCTGCCTCATACTTCCATAAGTACTGTATTTGTTTACGGACTGTAGGTGGATGTGAAGTGTAAAGGCTTGGTTTAATAAACACAACTCTCAAACCGGTACCACGGAGCCTACCTTTCCTTTCTTGTCTTTATAAGTTATTTTATGGCATTCTTTATAAATTATTTAAGGCATTCTTTGATTGGTTTTAATAAAAAAAAAAATCAGATGGCCGGTTAGCTGAGCAGGAAGTGGAAGATGGGACTTACTGTGAATGAGAAAGGAAATCTGGGAAGGAGGGGGCATGAGAGGAGACAGACATGATTATGGAACTAAGTAGTTGGATGGAGCTAGGTGGTTGGATTAACTTAGACGAGCTAGTTGACCAGCTAAGGCCTAAAGCTTTGAAATATTAAAGGGTCTCTGTGTGGTTATTTGGGGGAAAATTGGATAAGGAATAATTGCCACTAATTTCCAGAATTAATAAATATAGAATTTTAATAATCATTTGTTTTACATTAAAACCTTATTGTATTTTATGTGTATGGATGTGTTTGGCCTGCATGTATATATGTATACTATGAGTGCTTGGTACCCACAAAGGCTAGAAGAGGGCACTGGATCCCTGGGAACTAGAGTTACAGATGGTTTCAAACTTAGGTCTTCTGGAAGAACAGCCAATGCTCTTAATTGCTGAGCCATCTCTCTGATCTCTTTAATTTTATGAGTCAGTGTTTCATGTAGCTCAGGCTAGTCTCAAACTTGCTACATGGCTACAGGTGGCTTCCACCTGCTGGTCCTCCCGTCTCTACCTCCCAGGCAGTTAGGCATACAGGCGTGCACCACCATGCCTGGCTCTGTTTTCTTATTTCTCCTTTTCCTCCTTTTCAGAAGCCAGCTTGTAGAAGTAGCTCTCACTTCCATTGTGAGTTCTAAGGATTGAACTCAAGTTGTGAGGCTTAAGTACTTTAGTCCACTGAGACATCTCCATAGCCCCCATTTTCCTCCCTCCCTCCCTTCCTCCCTCCCTCCTCTTCCCCTCCCCTCCTGATATAAGGTCTATGTATACAGGGTTTCTCTGTGTAGCCCTGGCTGTCCTGGAACTCACTCTGTAGACCAGGCTGGCCTTTCTGGACTCAGAAATCCGCCTGCCTCTGCCTCCCAAGTGCTGGGATTAAAGGCGTGTGCCACCACTGCCCGGCTAGGTCAGCTCTTTTAAAAAGCTAAATTGTGTTGCATTTCTAAAAATTAAGAAATAGCTCAGCCGAGCATGGTGGCTTATGCCTGTAACCCCCTAACTCAGGAGGGTGATGTCAGCCTAGGAATCAGTTTTCTCCTTCCACCATGTGTTTTAGGAATCAAACTTATGTCTCTCACCCAAACCTTCATGATTCATTTCCTACCAGGCTGTGTTCTACTTGAATCTGGCCCCACACGTGGAAAACTATTGGATTGGGTCAGTTAATTCATGTATTACACAGAGACAGCACTTTGCAAGGGTCATTACACACACACACACACACACACACACACACACACACACACACAATCTAATAATAAACCTTTAGAAAAATGGGGCATGTCTAAGAGATTTCTAGGCTGGGTTAGTTAAGGTAGAAAGGCTGACCCTGAGTGGTCAGCACCATGCCATGGCTAGGGCTTGGACTGACTAGAAAGAAAAGTCTACTGAGCACCAGCGAGCATTTTCCTGCTTCCCAGGGATGCCACGTGACTAGCTGCCTGCTGACAAGTCTCCCCTGCCTCAATGGACTGCATCCCCTAGACTACAAGCTGAAATAAACGCTTTCTCCCCAAAGTCACTTTTTGTGGAGTCAGCCAGAAGGTAACCACTTCAGGGAGATGAGTGAACGGGGGAGAAAGCCCTGTTTCAAGGAAGGTGAATAAAGCATGGCAGGGCTTGCAAGGGCAAAATCCAGCCAGCCAGGAAGGAAGGACGGACACAGTGAGTGTGAGGGGAGATGGGGACTAGAACCGTTCCTAGTTTCTGTTGACTTCCACAGCAAGGTCATACCAACCACCTTCCCAGAACTAGCCAACGTATCTTACCATTCCTCTCCTCTACCAGGTAGATGGGGCCTCTTCAAGTGTCATTTTCTTGCTTATTTTGTTTGCACATGTCCAGACCTCCCAGATGGAGTGGGTCTCTCAGAACAGAGGCTCCGCCCATCCCTCACTGTGTCCTTTGTACCCAACCACTGCGCCCCCCCTCAATGGGCTGGGCTCTCTGTCATCAATCCCTAATTTTATAAAGTGCCCTACAGGCTTGCTTGCCCCTGATCTCACAGAGGCATTTTTCCTAACTGAGGCTCCCTCCTCTCCAATGACTCTAGCGTGTGTCAAGCTGATGTAAAAATAGTCAGCACAGCACCTTCTTAGAACATTTTCCCAACCTCAAAAAAATAATAATAATAAAAAAAAGAGGCTTCGTGCCCTCTGCTACCCACTCATCAGTTTCAGAAATATCAATTTAAAAAAATGTAACTTAAATTGCATTTTTTTAAAGACAAGGTCTCACTATGTACATAGCCCTAGTTGGCCTAGAACCTGCTATCTAGAATGGGGTGGGCTCACAGACATCTGCCTGTCTCTGCTTCCTGAGTCCTGAGATTAAAGTCATGAACCCCACAACCTGCAAAATTGGTAGTATTGGCGCTTACACGTGGTGCCTGGTGCATGGCAGACACATTCCACCACTGAATTCACTCCGAGCCTTCTCCCTCCCCTCCTGCTGATCTTTTATTATTTTTTTAACTAATTTTTCTGAGATGGGTTTACTAAGTCATCAAGCTGGCTCTGACCTGTTTATCCTGCCTCAGTTTCCTGTGATGCTGGGATTACAGGCCCAACTTCTTTTTCATGACAGAATATCACTCTATATCCCAGGCTGATCTGTAGGGAGCAGAGGAAGCCCTGAATATGTCCTCCTGAATGAATGTATACTTTTTTTTTTTTTTTGATTTTTGGTTTTTCGAGACAGGGTTTCTCTGTGTAGCCCTGGCTGTCCTGGAACTCACTCTGTAGACCAGGCTGGCCTCGAACTCAGAAATCCGCCTGCCTCTGTCTCCCAAGTGCCGGGATCAAAGGCGTGCGACACCACTGCCCAGCTGAATGTACACTATTGATAGGAGCTGGCTATGTCCAGGAGCCCAGCCTAAGCCACATGGGAAAACAGCAAAGCCTTCCTTCCCTTCTGGTCCACATGTGGATGTTGATGGTGTGTGTAGGGACTGTCCACCATATCTGTCTACTGAAGTTTACAGCTCAGGAATGCTCCCCTACAGAGATCCATACGAGATTAGCTAAGCCCGTCTCCTTGCTCAACTGTATATAATAACCCTATTTCCTTGTTTATCTGTGTGTAATAACCCTGGCTCCTTGTTCAGATATGCCATGACCCTGACTCTATTCGATTCCATATAACAAATGTGATAAGCTGGGATACTGAAGTTCACATCACTTCCCAGCTATTTCTTTGTATCCTTCTACCTGTCTGTCTTTTCTTCATTCCTTTGCTGCCCAGTTAAGACTGTCCCTGGAGCCAAGCTGGATGTGTCAAAGATCCCCCTGCCTCAGCCTCCTTAAATGCTAATATTATAGGCAAGTACCACCACACCACCTAGGAAGACACTGTTTTCATCCCAATGATCAAAAAGCTTTGAACTACACTCTACTGCTGAGGCCCTGTTCCAACCAGTCCCCGGAACTACAGAAGTCAACCCAAGACCCTGCCTGCTATGCCAAAGTTTCCTGTCTAGGTCTAAACCATGCAGTCCAGATACACAGACTGAAACCAATGCTCACACCCGTTCCAGGATGGCCACTGATCTCTAAGACATCTCTGGCTCAGTCCACTTGGAAGACCTGTTTTTTATCACCATTTCACACACACACACACACACACACACACACACACACACACATACACACACACACACACTGCTCCATACAAAAGTCACCTAGGAGAATTTGTGAACATGATCAATGGTCAGTCAACGCCTTAGTCTTTTCTGTTGCTATGATAAAATACCCTGACAAAAGCAATTTAAGGGAGAAAGGATTTATTTCCATTCATAGTTCCAGGTTACAGTCCATTAGAGCAGAGGAGTGACGGTGGCAGAAACCTGAGAGAGCTGGTCATGTCTGATCCACAGTCAAGAGCTGAGAGCACAGTTCAGAACTCCTGCATAGGGAATGGTGCCACCTTCAGTGGGCAACTCTTCTTGTCTCAATTAGCACAACTAAAACAATCTATAGAGATGCCCACAGGCCAACCTGATCAATTCTTCACTAAGACCCTCGGGTGATTCTAGATTGTGGCAAGCTGGCAATTAAAACTAAATATCATGCTGGTTAGTGGTGGCTCACACTTTTAATCCCTTAGGCACTTAGGAGACAGAGGCAGGCAGATCTCTGTGAGTTTGAGGCCAGCCTCTCTACAGAGCAAGTTCCAGAACAGCTAGGCTGTTACATACAAAAACCCTGTCTCAAAAAAGAAAAACAAACAAAAAGACTATTTAGTCTTTGTGTGTTAATTCATTGCCTCTAGAATTTATTTATCAAAGCTAACTATCCAAGCAAGGCAAGCAGGGCATGGTGCATTCCTGTAATCCCAGCATTCAGGAAACTGAGGCAGGGGGACCAGTGTAAATTTGAGAGCAACCTAGGCTACATAGCTAGATACAGTCTCAGAAACCCAAGCTGAGGATAACTCATTTGGTAGAGTACTTGTTTGGCATGCATGGACCCTGGATTTTATTCTCAGAACCACATAAGCCACTCAGTAATGTGTGCCTGTAATCCCATCAAGAGGGACAGAAATTCAAGGTCAAGGTAAAAGACTGCTCAGTGGGTAAGATCACATGACCTGAGATTAATTTCCCAGAACCCACCCACTCAAATTATCTTCTGATCTCCACAGACTTGCACACAATATAGAAATAAAAGCTTCTCTGTGGTGTAGAGCAAGTCCAAGACCAGCCTGGGCTGTGACGCTATCTCAAAACATGAAATAAAAGACCTTTAGTCAGGAGCCAGAGTGAATGTACTCCTCTGCCTTCCCACCCTGACCTCTGCTGGTGAATGGGTGCCTGGAGTTCTGTTG